GGCATTTGTTCGCTGATGGGCTCTCTCTCGGTAAATTCTGATACATTGATGCATGTTTCATTTCTTTTCTTTTTTTATTCATGCAACATCTTAGGTTAGATTTCATCCACCAAATTGATAAATTCTTAAGCAGAATTGTTTTATTAATGGGAATACTTTTAGTCGGCTATGGACTTTCTGAAAGTAAGATGATAGTTTGAAGACGTTGAATTTTATTAACACTTTTATTTGAAGTCTATCAGTTATTATTGGTTTTGACGTGCAAAAATGGTGTTCATTTGCTTGATTATGACTTGATAATTCACTTAGCAGTGTGATATATTTATATTTTAATTACGTTAAGCTCCGCAGTTTGTTTGTTAGGGGATTTATGATTTTATTTCACGACGAACCTAATTTCTTGTTCATATTTTTTAGTTTAAGATCAACAACTATATGAGGCGTTAACGAACAAGTCATACTTTTTCCTTCATAAAATCATTTTAGGCACAATTCCTTTAGGAAATTACTTACATTTTTATGATTTTACGTATGGAATCGGGTGAAATTGATTCATCAAAAGAAATATGTTATGATTAGAAAATGTTAGGGAAGATTAAGGAAATAAATATTGTATATATAACTTCAACAAAGCAACCTGAGATATACAACAACAATAACAAACTACGCGTTATTCCCAATATATTTGGGTGGGCAACATGAATCCTTCTTTGCTATTCCGATGGGTCATTTGCTTGTGTTCACAATCATGGACAGTTTTATTCTTTTTCATTTATTAAGTAGAGTAATACAAACAAATTTTTACTCAAGCCAAGAAACAAGCTGTTTCTAAATAACTGACTTTGTATACAACGATAACGCTATTAAGATTCTTAAAGTATGATACTATATTTAAATTTTACACATACTATAATGGGACCTTTTTCTTTCCTTTCAGTCAGAATTATTATCTTTGATGAGATGGTTATTGCTCATTTTCCACCCTGAAATCTGTTTTCTTGTTTAATCCAAGTTCATTGCCTGAAATTTTAATTGTGCTATTGTTTTGAGTTACAGGTTTTAATCTCCTGTTCTTTTAGTGCAGGTCATGAGTGTTAAAGCCCTAGGAACTTCATTGAAGTTGACTTTTGAAGGAAAGAACCAGTTAATCTATCCGGAGACCTGGTTTTTTATGTTTGTTGTAGCTACATGTGTGATCATCCAAATGAATTATCTCAACAAGGCAAGTAACCAATTTACAATAGTACACTATTAGGATAGATTAGCCCGTGAACACTTACGACATGTTGGTAAGATGGACTGTTGACAATATTAAAGAACGAAATGATGCTAAATTGTTGTCCATTATACTCTCCGGTACTATAGACAAGCATGCCCGTAAGATTTGAAGGAAATTATAGTTTCTCGCTTCTAACTTTAATAACAGTCCTAAAATTTGAAATCTTGGCAGTTGGCACTAGGGGTGGACAAAATGACTAGACCAAACCAAATCGAACTCGACAGTTCTACAAAAAAAAATTAATGGTTCTGGTTCTTAAAATTGAGAACCATTTGGTTCTGGTTTTGATTTGGTTCTAGTTCTAGAACCAAGAACAAAACCAAGAACCAAACTCGATCTTTAAATTTTATTATTTTATATATATTTACAAATTAGTGAATTACAATTTACACCAAAAAATTCAAATCTTTCAATTGAAGATCGAGACAAAAGTCATGTACCTTTGATTTCTCATTTTTCAATGTGGAGATTGGAGACCCTAATTCATTTTGGAGACTCAGACCCTAATTCATTTCTCATATCCACTTACTTTCAATTTATATACCGACTCTTAAATAGAGATCAACTACTACCATTTGCCATCTACTGTCGCACCTACGATCGTCAGATGGAATTCTGAAATTGAAGCCTCAACCTTCAATTCTTCTTCCTCCTCAAATGTTATTTTCATTTTTTCTNGACATGTTGGTAAGATGGACTGTTGACAATATTAAAGAACGAAATGATGCTAAATTGTTGTCCATTATACTCTCCGGTACTATAGACAAGCATGCCCGTAAGATTTGAAGGAAATTATAGTTTCTCCCTTCTAACTTTAATAACAGTCCTAAAATTTGAAATCTTGGCAGTTGGCACTACGGGTGGACAAAATGACTAGACCAAACCAAATCGAACTGTACAGTTCTACAAAAAAAAAATTAATGGTTCTGGTCCTTAAAATTGAGAACCATTTGGTTCTGTTTTTGATTTGGTTCTAGTTCTAGAACCAAGAACAAAACCAAGAACCAAACTCGATCTTTAAATTTTATTATTTTATATATATTTA